TGTAAGCCAAGTTCTAAATACGAGCAGTATCGGGGATCAAACAAAAGCAAAGGGAGAAAAGGAAGAAAGAACAATTGTGGGACCTCGGTGGGTTTGTATCCTATTGATAGTGATCTTTTGCAACAAGAGGTCGGGAGTGTAAATCGTAGCGGACTAGTTATATTAGAAGCCTTGGTTATGTGAGTTAAAAAAAAAAAAAGAATAAGGGCGACCACAATGCTTATGGATCTCTTGGTGCAAGCGAGTAGAGGTGTAGGCGATAAGAACAACAATAAAGAAGTTAATTATCCTCTATGTCGACATTGTGGCGGAACTAAACATCTTTCAACTACCTATTAGAGTAGACTCGATACAAAATGTAATAAATGTAACCAAAGGGGCATGAGAAAAGAATTTATGAGGCAAATGGGTGAATCAATCGAAGGAGAAGTTTTTGATAGTTTCTTACTATTTAATAATCGATCAGAAGAGACTTGACTAATAGATAGTGGATGCACAAATCACATGACAACTAATGCTCGAACTTTTCACGCAGACTTGATTGAACTTCGTCTCAAAGGTAAGAGTTGGGAATTGAGAGTTTATATCTATCAAAGGTAAAGGTTCCGTTGTAATTAAAACTATTATTGATGATAAAGTGATTTCGATGTGTTGTATGTTTTAGAGATTGATTTGAATCTTTTGTGTGTTGGTCAGTTAATTGAAAAGGGTTTTAAAATATTTTTTAAAGACAAAACTTATGTGACCAAGGATAAAGAAGGGGTATAAGTGTTTTCTATCAAGATAAAGGGAAAATGCTTCTCACTTGACTTAATGGATAATGAGCGAGTCGCATATCACGTTTCTATATAAGTTACTGATCTCTCGGCATAAGAGATTAAGATATTTTCACCATGTTGCAATCTTATTAATGCAAAAGCATGCAATGGCATATGGCTTGGATCCTTTGAAAGAGAGCTTATCAAGCTATAAAGCTTGTCAATATGGTAAACAACATCGACTACCCCTATAGAACCATAGAACGTTTGGAGGGCCTCAAGTAAGCTTTAGTTGGTGTACACCGATCTTGGAGGACCTTACGAACACAATCTCTTAAAGGCAGTAAGTATTGTATTATCTTATAAGAATGTGTTGGATTTACTTTTTTAAGCTTAAATTTGAAGTGGAAAACATGTTTTGGAGGTTCAAATCCTAGGTGGAAAACCGTAATGGCTACAAAATGATGATCATAAGGTTTGACAATAGGAAAGAATATATGTCAAACCGAGTTTAATAAATTATGTGAGGAGGCGGGAATAAAGCATCAACTCACCGCACCTTATACACCTTAGCAAAATGGTGTCGGTAAGAGGAAAAACATAACCACTTGTAGAGATGGCTCGTTGTCCGCTACATGAAAAGGATATGTCTAAAACTTTCTAGGTAAAAATTACAAATACTATTGTTTTTTTAATAGACTACTTACCAATGTACTCAATAACATGACTCCCTATGAGGCTTGGTTTAGTCATAAACCTTCTATGTTAAATTTGAAAATTTTTGAAAATGTATATTTCTCTTACATTCCACAGATTAAGAAGGATAAATTAGATAAAAAATCCGAGTCCGAAATCTTCATAAGCTATAACATCACCTCAAAAGCCTATAGAATTTATCAGCCTCAATAAAAAAAGATCATCATTAGCAAAGATATTATGTTTATAGAGGATAAGTAATGGGACCTGGAATGCAAGAAGAGTACATCGGCATTTTGATAAACCGCAACCTAGTGAAGATGATCTTGATGAGCAACTAGTAAGAGGAATCGAATTACTCACAAACATCTATGCAAGATAAAATATTGCTATAATGGAACCGAAACGAGTTCGAAGCAATGCGGGAGTAGAAATGGATTGTAACAATGCAAGAAGAGCTACATATGATCGAGAAAAATCATACATGTATGGTGGAAAGACCTTCAAATAGAAAGGTCATTGGAGTAAAAAGGGTTTTCAAAAGAAAACTCAATAAATCGATAAACAAGCATAAAGCCAAGCTTGTTATGAAGGATATACACAAGTCTTTGGTATGGATTTTTTTATAGATCTTTGCACACGTGGCCTCGGTTTGACTCCATCGATTGCTCCTTATAGTAATAGCTTAAAAAGGTTAAAAAGTATTCTAACTTGATGTTAAATTTACTTTCCTAGATGGCTTCCTAAAAGAAGAAATCTATATAGAACAACCTCGAAGGATTTGCAGTTGAAGGTCATGAGAAGAAGGTGTACTTGTTGATGAAGGCTTTGCATGGTCTCAAATAGACACTACAGGTCCGGCATAATTAAATAGATAATTATCTAATCAACTTAAGTTTTGTTAAAAGCTTTAGCGAGGCAACTCTATATGTGAAAAAGAAGTCACTAACATTACTCGTTGTTTTTGTTTATATTGATGATCTTTTTATCACAAGAAACAATCGGGAGCTTATTGATGTTTTTAAGTTTGAACTCGCTTAAGGAGTTTAAGATGACAAATTTGGGATCGATGACTAATTTTCTTGGTTTGGAAGTGAAGTAGCATACTAGTGAGATCTTCACGAGTCAAGGAAAATATGCTTAGAAGATCTTGAAAAAGTTTCATATGGAAGGTTGCAAGCCTACAAAAATTCCATGCGCAGTAGAGTGAAATTCGCAAGGATGATGAAGTCGCCAAAGTGGACAAAATTCACTACAAAAGCTTGATTGGTTGTCTCATGTACCTCACTATATCTAGGCTTGACATTGTGTGGGTTATGAGCCTTCTATCTTAGTTCATGCATTATGCAAGTGAGGAGCATATGTAAGTCGCTAAAAGAGTTATGAGATTCATCGGAGGGATAATTGACTATGGTATTAAGTATGTAAAGTGTGATCAACTAAAATTGATTGGTTTTACTCGACAATGATCAGGCGAGGATCCGTTAATGATATGAAGAGTACAAATGGCTTTTGTTTCGATTTTGGATCAAGTGTGATCAATCGGTGTTCAAAGAAGTAAGAGATCATTACTTAAAGCACTACGAAAGGCTGAATTTGTTGTTGCAACTATAGCAACAAATCATGCAATTTGATTGAGGAAAATTCTATAGGATCCGAATTTGGTGTAGCAAGAATCAACACGGATCTTTATAGATAATCAAGCAACCATTTCATTCTCCTTCAATCTAGTGTTTTATGGCAAGACAAAGCATTTCAAGATCAAATTTTACTTTTGAGAGAAGTTCGGAAAGAAGGAGAGGCCTTATTGGTGTACTTGCGAATAAATGAACAAATTGTTGATGTGTTCACCAAAGCTTTGCTTAAAGTCAAGTTTGATGTGCTAAGGAACAACCGGGAGTTTGCAACTTCAAAGGCAAGGATGAGTGTTCGAATTATGCCTTAAAAGCTATTGTAGAGAAGCCGCAATGTTGCGACTATGCTAATCAAGTCCAGTTGGTATGCCAAACAAGCGAGTGACATATCAAGTCGAGTGTGCGACCCTCTTAAACGTGTTGAAAAGAGTCAAGAAACATTGTTATTCTTCGAGCACAAGCAAAGATGCGCAATCGAAGACCTATTCCCTATGCTTAGTGGAAGCGTGTTTCGTTTTTTTTTTTTTTTTGCTGTCAATTCTTTTAGGTTAGTTGCTCGTTTTATGTTTAGAAACTAGTTTGTTACTTGCATTCAGTATTTCGTTATATTGTTATGTATTTAAGCAATTTTTGTAAATGAATTTAGTAGACATTTTCAATCTCCTGCATACTTGATTTTTTTTTTTAACCTACAGTTACTTTATGCGTGTGGATGTTGTAAGCACAATATAATACTGTTAAGTTGTAGTGTGTTTGAAATAGACTATTTAAAAACTTTTCATATCTTTAATTAGATGTAATTTAATAGACTGGCTTGCTATTCTGAATGGATTATGGTAATGGATTCTAATATTGCTTTTGTGAAAGGAAAATGGAAGATAAAAATTATTTATTCTTCTCATGTCCTGAGGTAAAGTATATATATTTATTCCTCTGTGCTGTGGAACTTAGTAGCATTCAAAGGTCAGTTGGAGCAAGGAATATGAATTCAACTTTGTAAAAAGTTCTCTACATAAAAGGAGTGGTGTAATTTCATTTACTTTGCATAGCAAGAAAGAAATAAAAGAATCATGGCGGCGAAATAACAATTTAGTTATTGCAAAGTATATAATTCCGACTTGTCCAAATATTCAAGATTTGTAATTCTTTATTGACGAAAGATGCTATTAAGAATCGTAGGGCATGTTGAATTTACAATAGATATAATTTTAGTGTCTGCTGATACTGGTTTTCAGGAAAGTCTTTTTTTTTTGTAAAGCAAGATCTTACTTCACTCACTTTTTTAATAATGAAACCTTTCATTCATTCAAAAAAAAGAAAAAGAAGAAGAAACATCTAGAGCACGTTACAGCGTGTGCTTCAGATATAGGTATAGCGTAACCACTCTCTCTCTCTCTATCGTAACCATTCTCTCTCTCTGTTTTCTTTCTTTTTTCCCTACATTCATTGGAAAAATAACTTCTTTAGTCAGCATATTATCAATTCATAGAGATTATGGAATAAGAATCTGGTATCTTAATTGGTTGGTGTGTAATATGCCCTTCCTTTTCTTCTTTGTTTCTGTCTTTTCCAGTCTCTTTTGATACAGATCCAGATTGTGGTATCTTTGGGTTGTTCATCCATGAACTCGCCACCAGCCCACCAAGATTTTTAAAAACTGGTCCCTACTTTAGTTTTCCACCCAAGTTCCTAAATTGTATGACAATTGGTAAATAAACATTGGTCCCTGAAAACATTAAGGTCGCATCTCCAAAAGGGTTCGAGGGAAATGGATAAAGATGATTGACGAGAAGACTCTTTTGGAACAATACCAGGCATCAACACAAAAGCCTATTCTCATAGGGCATATCGGCAACAATTTCGTAGATAAGTTTGATGCAAACACAAGAATAAAATTAAGCAAGGAGTTATAATGGCCCCCCTCCCCTCGCTTAAGAAAACTCGAAACACTTTTGGAGTGGGACCACCTTCTTCTCTACACCCCCTCGACTCATTGACACATGATGAGCTGGCCCTCCAAAGTATCCATCCAAAAAGGAATGTAGACAACATGATGCATGCAAGGAAATTAGGATTAGGACACCATGAAGGCAGATTAATGTCGTACACTTCTTGGAGGAGAGCACTTCGTGGGAGGGTTAAAATCATCCATAAGTCCATTCTCAAACAAAAATAGATCATTATGAGGGTGGCCGGGACCCACATTTTTCTTTCGCCAAAAAAGTAGTGGGTGGGACCCTTCTGTCCTTTTTCGGTGGGATAACGTGGGAGCTTTCCACACGTGTGCACTTTGCCTTTGGTTAATGGCGCATGAACCGAGCACGTGTCTTTTTCTAGCAATAGTGGGTCTGATTGCGAATTAAGATTAATAACAATGAAGAGAAAAGCGAGGCAGGTGGAACTATATGAGTACTGCCTACTACTGCGTAGGTTAAAAAATAAATAAGAATGGTTTGATTTCGTCTGCCATTTTATGCGTTTATTGAGAGATGTTGAAAGTGCAGTTTTGCTATGTAATCATATATGTTGGGGCTTCTTGTTTTTTTATGTGTTTTTTGTGCCTCCTCCTTTTTTTTTTTTTTTTTATGTTGATGATTCCTAGTATAAACAAACTTTTGGCAACGTGTGCTTTTACGCATTTCCTTTCTTATTTTTCTTTTGATTGTTCCCAAAGATGAAGCTTTAATAATTCTAACCCTCATTAAAGCATAGAGACATGGCAGCTTCTCAAATATAAAGAGCGAGTCTATTATCTTTTTTTGTCTTGGCGGTTCTTAATGAGCCAAAAAAAACAAAAAGGGTTCTTAATGTATCTTTTCCAACACAAAACTAAATTCGTCAAATGGGTCTTGGGAAACTTATGTTACTAATTAAAAGGAGTTAGTTCTTCTTCTTGTTGTTGTTTAACTAATCTTAAATCACTTGGCATGTGCGCTATGCCAAGTATTCTGCTGGGCCACAATTGAACTCAAGTCCACCCTCGTCTCATCATGGGCTCAATGCAAAATCCAAACCATAGAACTTGGCATCCACTAGTAAAGATAACTCCAATGCACTCTCCTTTTCGCTCTTCGCTTCCGGAGTCTTTTGGGCTACTGCGTCTTCTTACAGGCCACAGTTGCAGCATGTCAAATGTGTAGGTAAGCATTGAAGACGAATGGTCCATAAGCAATCCAACATACAAAGAACACAAACGTGGGATCCAATGTAAATTGCTAGTCATTAATATCTGCATTACCTAGGTACGATCTATAAGTTCAACCAATAGTAGTAGCATAATTTTAGCTGCATCTATTAATTTTTCACTTCTTAATTAATTAATTCTTTCTGTCAATTATATTAAGATCACCATCCTCTTATCACAAGCTAAATTTGCAGGCGCATAGGGGCACGTTAGGGCAGCATTATCGTCAATTTTAATAATTTTTCGTAACTAGTAGAAAGCGAGTTATGGTTTTATAGTGGTGTTACTTTCACTTTCGAATCTAAGAGTCTAAAAGGACGCCAATATGGACCACCGTTGCCGCACACAACATACAGAGAAACAAATCATCAATAAAATAGTGCAAATGCAAAAACTTCAGTGTGAGCAGAAAGGGACTTCTCCTCTTGCATAAAGCTAAAACTTTTAAAAAAATCCCCCTCAACTAATTATTAATTAATTAATCCCTGCACTTAATTAGTTAATTATTAATTATATGTTGCCACCATGCATTATAGATACGGTGCAAACCCACCAGACCCCGCAATCTAGACTCCTTAATTAGGCAAACCGCATCATACATAACTAGATGATTTGTTTGATAATTCAGTAAAATTAATAATGAACTTCTTGCTAAGAAGAATCGTTAATCTATGATTGGATTCGGAGATATTTATGTTCTGCCGACGGTATGGTGTACACACATATATATATATTTCAGTTAGGTGGTTAGGGTACGTACGTGTAAATGTATGGCATCAACCAAGTGACTGCAATTTTTTTTTTTTTTTCCGGAGCTCAGAGGGGTTCGTTCCTGATAGGTTATTTATATTTGGCCGATCAACTGACAAATGAGGGTTGGCCAACAATGCATATTCTTAGGCGTGCACGGTGGCGTGAGCCTGAGGTGATCCTAACGTGGATAGGGCTTAATTAAGCTAAGAATGGGAAAAGGCTAAGGACAAAAAGACACATCCTATTATTAACCACCTTTTGTCTAGTATTATTATTGTTGAAGCCCAAAGTTGATGTTGATTAGAGAAAACATTCCACATTTCCCACCTTTGCATATAAATGATGATCAATATGATTTTTCAAGACAAATTCTTTTAGTTAGTGGTAGAACAAAGCACTTATTATATTTCCTTCCTATATATACTACTACTATGCTGGCTAGCTGCTATGTATGATCAGCTCTCTTTTGCTCTCCTATATATATTTATATATATAAAATTTTATTTGCTCATATTTTCAGTCCTCTCTCATGCCAGTTGCTAATTAATTCTTCTCAATTTATGGTGCAAGTTTGATTAAGTAAGAATAATGGGATATGGAGAACTTAAAATACGAAGCTATGATGTTCAAATTCATAGAGCTGGAGTGGAAGATCTTGAGAGAAGATGTGAGGTAGGCCCAACTAAACGAGTAGTTCTCTTCACGGATACTATGGGTGACCCCATTTGTAGAATCAGAAACAGTCCGATGTACAAGATGCTGGTACGTGCTCGCTATACTGATCATCGTCATTCTGTTCTATTTTTCCTTTGTTTTTCGTTACATCCATTATTTCATAAATCCTATTTTTTGTTACATCCCTAAACCCTTACAATGATGTCTTATTGACGAATTAAAAAATGCAACCTTGTTTCTTTTATGTTAGGTAGCCGAGTTGGGCAGCGAATTGGTTGGTGTCATTCAAGGCTCTATAAAACTTGCAACCGTTCATAAACCTCCAAAGAATCTAGCCAAGTTGGGTTATGTGTTAGGCTTAAGAATTGCACCACTTCATCGACGAAAAGGGATTGGATCGAGGTTAGCGCTTGAATTGGAAAAATGGTTCATTGCAAATGATGTTGACTACGCTTACATGGCTACGGAGAAAGATAATGAAGCATCAGTTAATCTCTTCATAAACAGGCTTGGATATGCCAAATTCAGGACTCTAGCCATTCTTGTTAATCCAGTTGATCATCGCGCGTCACGTTTGTCATCAAAAACTGAGGTAGCAAAGCTCGAAGTTGAAGAAGCTGAGTGTCTATATCGCAAGTTCATGACTTCAACCGAGTTTTTCCCTGATGATCTAGGGAATATTCTAAGAAACAAGCTTAGCTTGGGGACTTGGGTGGCTTATCCAGAAGGGGAGTCATGGGATGATTTTGGTTCAGATGGGAAAGTTCCAAGTAGTTGGGCAATGCTTAGTGTATGGAATAGTGGGGAGCTCTTCAAGCTAAGATTAGGGAAAGCGCCCTTATCTTGCTTCATGTACACTAAGACTTCAAGAATGATTGATAAAATATTTCCATGTTTTAAATTGCCTACAATACCGGATTTTTTCAGTCCATTCGGATTCTACTTCGTGTATGGAGTGCACCGTGAAGGACCATTATCAGGAAAGCTGGTTGGAGACTTGTGCCAATTTGTGCACAATATGGCGACAAAGACCAAAGGTTGTAAGGTTATTGTAACAGAAGTAGGCGGTAACGACAATATCCTAAGGCGTCACATCCCCTATTGGAAATCACTCTCCTGTCCAGAAGATTGGTGGTGCTTAAAGGCCTTGAAAAATGAAGAGAGCACAACCCATCAATTGCCAAGAATGCCACCGACAACAACATCCATTTTTGTAGACCCGAGAGAGGTCTGAACACTAAAAAATACCTCCCCGACCTTATTATGCTTGCTTGAAGCCAAACCCCACCTCATGTATTGTAAGATTAGTCCATCCATCTCTGCTTTGTGGGGGCTTTTCCCTTGTTCCTTTCACATCGGTGACACAAAATCTCAAAAGATTTTCCGTAATTAGGTGCCACCCTCTTTGTCCTTGTTATCAGCTCAATTTTCTCTGCCCTCATGATCTTGACTAATCAAGAAGCCAGTGGTCCATGTTTCGTCCCTTCCTCTCTGGTAAAAGATTTTCCATTGGATCGTCCTACCTTCGTCTGTCGCCTCGCCTCTCATATAGCTAAAGCATACCTTAACATGCCAATGCAAGAAATTCAGATTTCTTTCGAGATGAAAGGTACGCATACCTATTGATTGGAAAAAAAAAAGAAAAAAAAAAGGGCCTAGTGCAGTCTCCAAAGTGAATTAATAAGGTCATGAGATGTTTCTAGCAAAACCTTTTATGATTTTGGCAGATTTCAGCTCATGCATAATTAAGGTACATCATAATTGGGAAGATGTCAACTTCACCGCTCAAATGAGGGATCCTACACCTTCCAAAACCCTAGTTCTGCGGATAAAACAAAGTTGGTTAGGGTTTCATGTCAATCGTCACAGTCGACGCCATGCTTAACTGGCTAGGTAAAGCAGCCACGAGTTGGGCATCTATTCTCTCCTGCCAAAGAAGGAAGTTTCTTCATTTATAGTCACCATTGATTTTGTTTTTGAAAGGTATTTCGTGTCATTTAAATGCGTGTACCGTAGCTAGCCTGATCATGATTATTGGGATGATGATTGTAATGACGATAATGATAATGATTTTATTGGTTATATGAAAGATAGAAAGTTAGCAATCGAATGCCAATCATAATGGAGCAATAGACTTTGATTCTTGAAAGAGGCTTTTGTCTTTTGATAGAAATATTTGGAGTAAGTGGAGCACGAGAGCACGAAGAAGTGGTTTAAATGACCTGAGGTTTCTAATCATGATAATGCCAATTGTAAATATATACTTGCATGTGTATTGCATCTGGAACTAAAGCTGATGTATGGGTCATTGCTGCAATAAGCATGAGCATTAATGACATTTGTCACATTTATAACCCTAGCTAGTTGTAGATTTTCCCCCAACTTTAGTTTAACTACAACTTTCAAACCAATTAATTATCTTTTTACTTTTTACGAGTACTAGCATATATATATATATACTAGCTAACAACTTCGATAACTTCTTAATCTTACATTGAATATTTCTTAGAATTTTGGTTATATTGCAAGGTACTTCATTTTATTAATTGTTAATATATATATATTGTTTAATTATGACCTTATATATTGGTCAACTTGTGTTTTATATCACTCAAAGGGGTCGTGCGTGATGAGCTAGCTTTAGAGAAATAAGGATTTTAGGTAAATTGGGATTAGGGTTTTGAAGTGCGTGGAATTGGGATAGGTTACAGATAGGGATCAGGTGGAATATTAATTGTTATTATAGTTTTTTTAGTTAATGGGTATCTTTAGATTAAATTTTGCATCAATCAAAATTTAATCGTTACTTTATAAATTACGTCAATATCATATTATATTTAACTTTAGATCAATTGTAGGTGACAGACTGAAGTCTTTAAAATGTTTTTACATGAATGTATTTGTTAAATAATTAAGTACATTTAGAAAGAATATTTGCTAATTATTAAATAGTTTATATAAAATCATTGTAACAGTCATATTTAACAGGTTAACCTTATGGTTAAAAATAGTTTTTTGACATGTAAAATTAACATCACTCTTTGTTTTTTGTTTTTTTGTTTTTTTTGGTTTTTAATGAATTATGAGGCCAACTTTTTTGTGTATCAATAAAAAATCTATACCTGGAGTTAGGTTTTAAATAGACCTTTCACATCTATATTAATGCATTCAAAAAAAAAAAAAAAATTCTTACACTTTAGATAGTAACGAAGAAAACAAATTCAAATTTACGTCTCCGAGGGTAGATTAACATCGATCTTTGCATAACCTAATCACGCACGCCATTTTTTCTTTCTTTTTTTTTTTAAAAAATAAATAAATAAATAAGAAAAAAAAAAGTGTAATTATGACTCTGTACATGACCCTACTCGATTATAAGTTAATTCCGTGGAGGCTACTAGCAAACAGTTTTTCACGTCTTTGTATGAAAGAGAGAGGTACAAAATTCACCACAGAATAAAGAGCATATATCCATACACCCGCATAAGTCCGACCGTCTGATTTCAATAATTTCTCACCCCAAGAAAACATGCAGGCTCCAGTACTAAGAGTAGACCAAAAAATGGTGCTGGCCACTTAGTGAGAAGGATATTCAATTATTGCATGCAGGTAAACATGCGTTTCTAAGTTATGTCTTGACAAATCTCCCTTGGAAATTGTGACATTTGCGATCACAAAGGTTTGTTTGATCTATCATTGGATTTTTCCTACGCTTAAAAACCTAATATGGACCACAATTCGTAGAACATAACTAGCACATACGCATCCAGTCTCAATTCCTTCGAGCACGCGAGGATCAAGGACATGGCAAAGTCAATTTCTATGGTTGATTTTTGACTTCCTATATTTATTGCAGTCGTTTAACTATTCTAAAATGGCTGCACATATTTGACATCAACTGTACGAGAAATTTTTTGTAACTAGAGCATAAATTCCACTTAATTTATAATATAAAATTTTTACATAAAAAAAAAAAAAAATGATTCAATCTCTCTATCTGATGCTGGACTATACTGTTACTAACTTTAGGAGCAAACCTACGCAAAATGATGGTCATGTTATTTTTGGTATAGCCTTTGGGAGAGTCGGGTAGAATTTCCTTTGAAGTTTGGACCTAAGAAAAACAGATTACTAGTAACCTAAGAAAGAGCAGTCCAAAGAAAGCAGATTTCATTGTTGTTGAGAAGGGTTAGGAACTTAAGAGATAGGACACCCATTGATCCTAACCCTGACCTCTTCAGCTATGCCTACCCAATCTGCTATCCTATTAGCCCTTCCACTCAATCCGCACCCATTGATCCTGGACTCTTTACCTACCTAATCTACTGCCTCACGTAGCCTTAGTTCAAATGTAAAGGCCTTGTAACTCTGAAGGCGTGTTTTGTTGTTCTGATAAGAAGCTATGACCCATCTCCATCATATTAGCTTCAACAATTTATTAGTAAAACTTAGAAGATTAGGCTGAGGGACCAAGGATAATCCATGACTAGTCTGACTTATTAATTTCGTGTTTTGCTATCAATGCCAAACGGAATAATCGATGAACTCCCACCATTTTGTTGCTTTGACACCATTGGAAGCATATCCAAACTAACGAAAATCTGCACGAAGGCCTGTTTACGGACCTGAAGTAATTCCTTTAGGCCCAAAACTTAGTTTTCTTAAATTCATATACCCAAGCCTGCTATTTGATTTTAGTGGCCTTCCATTAAATTGATATTCGGCCTTGGTGAATCTAGACCAACCTTGAACCTTTGTTTGCTCGATCCTAAGTGGGTCGTAAACAGAATAAGCTTCTTTAATTAAGTTGACACTACCACTTGAGCCTAGGAGGTTATCTGAAAAGCCATCTTGGTGCGTAAGGCAGACCATTCAATCTGGGATAACATCAAACAAGGAAAGCTCTCTTAATCCGCAATTGGATGGTGTATCCCAGTTCATGACATGCAGCTTCACAAGAGAAGGAACTGTATCGATAAACAAAACAGATTAAATTAAAAAGAATAGCCCGTCAAACAAAAAAAAAAATTAATTGTGTTCTTTATTTATTATTATTTTTTTTTGGTTGAACAAACAAAATTTATATAAACTAAAAAGCTGAGAACTAGTGGGCCATTTTTATAGCCTAACCATAAAAAATGCTTTATTTGACGCATGTTTCATGAATTATTAGAGTGTAAATTCAGTAATTATGCATCACGACTCTTTTCCAAAATATAGAGTTGTCTTGATAACTTAAAATAATCCATTAGTTATTTATTAATCGATTATCCACGCTACGCTATGGGTTTAATAAAAGAAAATTATTTTAAAATTTATAATTTTTTATTTAATTAATTTTTCTAATGCTTTTCATAAATCTTCTATTTAAAAAAAATTATTTAATGCTGATGAGAAAATTAATTTTTGAAATTATTCATGGAACGCAGCATGCGAGATAGAACAAAATCATTTCAAAATTTTATAATTTTTTTATTTAATTATTACTAATCTTTTTTTTTTTTTGTATTTTTCATAAAATTTCTGCTCAAAAAACATGATTTATTCTTCTTTATTCATGTATTCTTAAATAAAAACTTCTAATAATTTAAATCAAAAATAGTAATTAAGAATTTAAAAAAAACTTTAAAAATCTATATTTTTATAAGAATGTATCCGTAAAATAAAGTTACAATTAATGTACGGACTTGTATAAAAATTAATTAATGAAAACATAAAATTTTATTCTTATTTAATGTAGGTGAGAAGATTATTTTTTAAAAGTATATGCATTTGATCTTTATATATTTATTTATAAAATAATCAATAAAATTAGCATAAAAAACTATATTCAATAATTAGTCGGTTTCTTTAAAAAAATATTTTAATTATTTTATTTCAAATAAATTGGTTTTATAATATTAAAAAAATATTCATAGTAAATAATTTGCATTATGTTGGAAGATGCATAGTTAATTTTTAATAAAAACAATGATTCGATAATTTTTTTATACGTCTTGATGATACCTAGTTAATCGAGATAAATTATTTGAAATACACTATTAATCTTTTAAAATAAAATAATTATATATTTATAGATATGCAACTATCATTTAAAAATTTTAAGAATTCATGATATATATTATGCCAATTTATTTTTTGAAAAAGAAAAAATAATCATGTTTTAAAATTTTATTCTTAAATTCAAACATAGAGAAAAATAAATTATATTTATTAGTAGCTAAAATTTTATATAAAAAATATTAATTGGATGAGAATTTTCATAAAAAATGATAAATTCAAAAAATAAAATTTAAATAATAAGAGCAATATAAACTTAAGCATATGTTAATTTTAATATAGACACACACACACACACACAATGCGTGAAAATGAAAAAAAAATGAAATTTGAGGATTAAAAAAAATGTTACAACATGAGGGATGAAAATAGAAAAAAAATGTTAAATTTGCATATTATTGCCCAAAAACAAACAAAAAAAACTCAAATTGTCATCAAGTAAATAGTAATTTTATGCATATGAAGAGTAAGTGAACATGAATTTTTGGCATATGAACAAGTACGGATTCTCGAGCTACGCTACGGATCGAACTAAACATATTTATTTTAGTTTGATAACATATATTATGTTATCAACTAATTAAAATATATTAAATTAAATATAAAAGATAAAACTTTATCTAATTTTATAATTTTTAATTAAAATTTTGTGTGTCTCGTGTATATATATATTTCGAATAAATTTTGAAGTCAATAAAATATGATTTGTTCTTTATTATGCATTTATTCTTTAAAAAAAACTCATAATAAATAAATTTTAATATAAATTTTAAAAAAAATCTTAATATTTTTTTCATAACATTGCATCGAAGAAATACAACAATAATTAATATAAAAACTTGTATAAAAATTAACAAATGAAGCTTTTTTACCGATGAAAAGATTTTTTTTTAAGTATATACATTTAATTTTTATATATTTATTTACAAAATAATGAATAATATTAGTATACAAAATTGTATTTGAATTATTAGGTGGTTATTCTAAAATATTATTTCAATTATTTTATTTAAAAAATTAATTTTAAAATATTAAAAAAAATAATAACGAATGGTTGGTATTGCATGTGTAGATGCATAGTTGATTTCTAATAAAATCGATGACTCTAATATTAGTTTTTTATACATTATGATAGTAATCAATGAGTGAGAATGTATAACATAAATTATAAAATATTTAAAAATTAAATTATAAAATAGATATTGAAGTTAATAGAGTGTAATAAAAAATATAAAATTGATTTCGATAAAATTTAATTATATAAAGAATAAGAAAATAAAATACATATATGCTATTTTTAAATTTTTATTTTATAAGAATTAAGCAAATAAAAGTAGGTATAAAAAAACTTATTCGAATCTATACATAGAGAAAATAAATAATATTTATTGATAAATAAAATTATATAAAAATAAAAATAAAAATCAACTTGATGTGAATTTTTATAATAAATTGAAAAGATCAATTTTAAACAATAAGAGTAGTATATATTTATTTTAAAATCTAAAAACATATCGTATATATTATACAATCGTCGGTTTATATGAAAAAAATAATGATTGATCTTTTAAAATTTTAACACCCAGTTAAATAAAAAAATAAATTGATGGAAAAAGTCAAAGAAAAAAAGTATGTGTATTGCATCGGTTAGGGGATTAAAATTTTTATTTTAAAATTTTAAGGATAAAAATAAAATAATTTAAAAATTATATATTAAAAAAAAGCTGAATGAATAATGCTTTGTGAGGGGATGAACACTGAAACTCACTCGTTCAAACACTCCACCTCTTTTAGTTGTATAGTAATGTATTGGCTTATTAGTTTGGTCGACCTATAAAATTTAAAATGAATGGGTAACTCGGTAGAGTTGATTCTTTTGATTTTTATTTTGAGGGGATTATAGGATACATGCACTTTAAGCGAATGAGTAACTCGATGATTGCTAGCTTGCTACGAGAACCATTGATGACACATGAGGTTATTAGACACGACTTTGCTCTATAACATATTTTAAAAGTAAACCTATGAGATACAATGGTGATAATGCCCCGTCCGTCCCCGAAAAGCTTTATCCCATCCCCATCTTATGTCTCGTGTGAGGCAATATTTTCATTATCATCTCCATCCCCAATGGGAATGAGAATCCACGAGGGGTGTCGATGCCTAGCTTAATTCTTTGCGTCCGTCCTATCCCATCCCATTCTACCTCATATCATTTTCTATCA